CCCAGTCGGCCCAGCGGACGGCCATGTGACGGAGCGCCCCGTTCACCGCCTCCACCAATCGGCGGAAGTCGTCCTCGGCGAGCAACGTCGCGTCCATTCGGTGCATGGAGTGGAGGCGGCGGGCGATGTACGCTTGCGGCTCCCACACCGCCGGCGACTTGCTGTGCTCCAGGTCGTACTCGGCCGCCTGCTCGTAGATCGACTCGCCGAAGCGGCTGATCAGCCGGCCGTACTGCTTCACCGCGTAGCGCATCCTCGCGTAGTGCCGCTCACGGCTGCTGCTTCGACCACCGATGCCTTCCTCCTCTTCAAGTTGCTCATACTTCTTATCATCGAGTAACTTTTTCACCAGTGGCGATTCGCTGACATTGCTCATCTTGATGGTGATGGGACAAAACTGCAGCCTTCAACTTATTTCAGTTTCCTGAACTGGACTAAAGTAAACAAAGCTTCCTTGCCTTAAACAAAATCTTTTTGCCTTCTGCTTCTGAAAACTGCGCAGGCACTCTCTTTCTCTTTTATTGCTAGAAGTGGTGATGCAATCAAGTTCGAAATGCAATGAGTAGAGATTGCCGCTGGCTTCAAGTACAAATGACACGTTTCACCGGGCAGTTGTGTTCATTCCTCGTTTCCTTTTACAAACTATGAGCGTCAATAAGAAGAGTCGAAAGTCGAAAAAGTCCATCAAGTCGCCGGTGAGTAGGAAGAATGTCCATGCTCACTCAATCATGCTAACCCATTCCATTGATAAACACTAGGACAAGAGTGCAAAATCAAGGAAGGGCAAGTCCTCGGCGGAGAATAAAACACGCCGCAGTAAACCTCACTCGCCAGCCTCTCAAAATGAGAGAAAGTCAGCCCACGCCAAAACACCAAAAACACCGGTGTCAGAGAAGAACAACAAGAGCCTCAAGAAGGTTGTTTTCTCCATCAAATGCTAATCGAGCTCATAACTTACCTTACTTTGCAGAGTGTCCGTTCAAAGAAGAAGCAGCCCGTTCCGACGCCCACCACCAAGGCTAAAACATCCAATGTGAAGGTGACGATGAAAAGCAGCCCTTCCGCCGATGCGGCAAAGGCGCTGAAAGCCATCGCCGCCGGTGGCGCCTCCGAGGCGAACCTTCATCTGGAGAAAGTCCGACAACAGCTGCAGAAACTGGACGCCCGCTGGCGAGAGAAGGAGAACGAGGAGAAAAAGAAATTCGAGGTGGCGGAGGCGGACCAAGCGAAGGAACTTCAAGAGAAGAACACCGCCGCTCTTGAGGAGACCATTCGCTCGCTGCAGGCCACCTACCAGCAGAAGATGGACGAGACCAAGGCCAAACTGGAGAGTCAACAGGCGAAGGAGGTGAACAAGGTGAAGGAGGAGGAGGGCGTGGGTGCGGGCGCCAGCGAGGAACGACAGGCCCAGCTGGAGCGAGAGCTGGCGAAGCTGCAAAAGACCGCCAACGATGAGGTGGAGAAGTACCGACGGAAGCGGGAGGCAGAGCTGGAGGAGCAAATCAAGCGCGCAAAGGAGCAGTGCCAGACGGACATTGAAGAGTACAGCGCCCGGCACCGAGCGGCCACGGAGAAGCTGCTGGAGCAGGTGAAGCAGAAGCACCAGCTGGAGCTGCGCAACGACGAGCAGACGAGCAAGCTGTCGGCGACAAACAAGCTCAACCAGATCAAGGAGCGATTTGCGAAGAGCCAGGCGGAGGAGAGTGGCCGCCTCAACGAGCAGCTGGCCGCCTCCATTGACCAGGCGAGGACGACCAGTGCAAAGGAGGCCGCCAGGCAGCAGCAGGCGGCGAAGCAGGCGCTGGCCAAGGAGCTGGAAACCGCTCGAGCCCGCCTGGAAACGGAGTACCGGGAGGAACGTGGTCGACTGGAGGCGACCATCACCGAGCTGGAGGCGGCCATCAAGGGCTCGCTGAAGGCGGAGGCGCGTGAACTGGCCCGTCGCCGGGACACGAAGGCCCACCTGCTGGCGATGATGGCCCTGGACGACATGTGGCGCGTCACCGATGAGGAGCTGATCAGCCGTCGGCACGGCTTCACCATTGACCGCGGGGCGATCATCCAGGCGAGCTGCTCCGCTTCGACCATCTACGCGGCCACCAGCAAGGCGGGCGACCGGTGCTACTGCAAGGTGACGCTCCTCAACAAGTGGTCCAACCGCCACCGAGCCGACTTCTTCAAGTACTCCACCCGACTGGCCCGCTACCTGACGGTGAACTTCGAGAAGATGCCCCACTTTATCAAGATCATTGAGGTGCTGGCCACCGACTCCAAGGTGTACACCTTCATGGTGCCGCTGGAGAGCACTCGAACGCTGGCAGTGCACCTCGAGTCGCTGGGCAAGGGCAGTCAGAAGACGGNGCCACCGACTCCAAGGTGTACACCTTCATGGTGCCGCTGGAGAGCACTCGAACGCTGGCAGTGCACCTCGAGTCGCTGGGCAAGGGCAGTCAGAAGACGGCGAAGAAGAAGAGCGAGAGCTCGCTGGAGAAGAAGGGAACGACAAGCAAGCAGCAGCAATCACCAACACCTCCCCCGTCCCTTCTCCGCACCTCAGGGCTGAAAAAATCTGAGGTGGTGCGCATTGTGAAGCAGGTGAGCAAGGCGGCGGCCTACCTCAACAACATGTTCATTGCCCACTGCGCCATCACCCCGGACAACCTCACCCTTCTCCCGCCGTCCTCCAGTGGCGGCGGCAACTCCAGTAGAGGCAGCAGTCTGTCGCACTGCAAGGTAGTCCTCACCGGACTGACGCGCCCCATCGTCTACTACAACGTCGAGTCGGACTGCATCATCGCGGTGAAGGGCTTCGAGGCGCCCACCTCTGAGGAGCACCTCGACCTGAGCCACATTGAGCACCTCCCGCCGGAGTGCTTCGAGTCGGAGTTCATCGCCAGCAGCCTGGACGCCTTCAGCATCGGCATTCTCGCCTACCAACTGCTGCGCATTGGCTCGCCCTTTGCCGATGTGCCCAAGAAGAAGCTGCTGGCGGCGAAGCAGGAGATCGGCGCAGAGGGCGTCAAGCTGGTGCTGGAGGAGGGCAGCGTCGAGGCGGAACAGCATCGCAATCTGCCGCCGCTGATCGCCTCGCTGACCACCTCAGTGCAAAGCAAGCGCCTGCCCATCGAGGACATTCGCCACCAGGCGTACTTCAAGCGCTGAAACACATCACACCACCACCACTAACACACTACCCTTCAACTTTTACTTTGCAATGACAGGAGATTATTATTATTACTATTGTTGAGCCTGCTGTTTCAGAGCTGGTTGTTGTTACTGCTGATTATGTTAGCTAACTTGTTTGCTCTTTTCGCTTGCTCAAGCAAACAACAAATGAGATGATTTTTCTGGCGATGCACTCAAGTCCCATGGGGCGTTGAAACTTGAAAACTTCCTATCTTATCATGCTGAAAGAGGTATAAAAGCAGGCGATGAACATTGTGCAGCTTCTGACCCTCAACAACTTCAACAATGATGAATTTCAACGACCTCAGCGATGACAATCTTCTGCACGTCTTTGCAGAGTTGCCCCTCTCCAAGCTGCTCTCCTTTAGCATCGTCTGTCACCGCTGGGCAACTCTAACCTTCGTTGCACTCGCCCACCGAGACACCCTAACACTGCTCATCGATGAAAGGGATGATGACCCAAGGTATCCACAGGCGCTGATCAGGAAGTCGCCATTTAACACTGGGCAAGATCTGCTCGCCTCTGACGGTGTGACACCGCTAAAGGCCCTTTACCAACTGTCGAGATCACTTCTACAGTTGAGCAGTGTGACCAGTGAGGTAGTGGCCAACATAAAGGTCACTTTCCCCAATGTCCGCTTTTTTGGCATCAGCTTCCACAGTAAGTGCACTGCATAAGCTTCATTCTGATTAGCAAAATTAAAAAGCCATCTACTTTAGATAAAGTCCGCAATGATCACCTGCTGATTGCTGATCTGCTCCATGACGGATGGTCGCACCGTTTAGTCTCCTTCTCCCTGTGGTCCAACTTTTCCAGCTCCAAGTTGCGCTCCTCACTGCTGAAAGTATGCAATGCTCCCACTAAGTTTGTGCCTGCACTTCGTCATCTAACTTTGGACATTGGGACGTTTCGCCTAAAACCGCTAAAGCTGCCGATTCTCTCTCAGCTAAGCAGCTTCAATCTGGCCAGTGCCAACGGCATTGAGTCCCTCTTGCCCACTTTGGCTGACTACCAGCGCATCGCCAGTAAAGCATCGAGCAGCAAGTCAGCAAAGTGCAGCATTGATCTGCCCTCCATCAATGACTTGGAAATGTGCTTTGATAGCGATTTGAAGCCCAAGACTAAGCTGATGCAAGTTGCCCCATTATTTTCTCGCCTGACTTCTAAAGCACTGTCCGCGTACTTTTACAATCACTTTGCCGCCCACTTCAGCTCTCTTCGCATTGTGAACGTGGACACCTACAGCTGCGAATCATTGAGTCAGCTTTTCTTCTCACTGGCCACACTTCAGCAGCTCACCCACCTCACAATGACACTGAGCTTGGAAATGAGCCATCAAGATTGCTCTGCAGTCAATCTGCCCTCACTGCAATCAGTCCGATGGCTGACACTGCGATGCACCATCGCCGACACTGATCTGGCCAAGTGCCCACTTCAGCACCTCTTTCCAGCAGTTGAGTACCTCAAGGTCCGCTTTATGGACCGAGGGGCAAATGTCTTTAGGGCTTTCAAGGTGCCACTAGGGTTGCCTAGGTTGCACACATTCAAGTACCGGAAAAATGGTACGTATCACTGCCTGAATCGAGATGAATTGGAAGTGATAGTGATGCAGCAAGAAATGCAAATCTAAAAACTGAATCTGTAAAAGGGTTTTCATTGTTGCAATAAATTCTTTTGAGATTTTATTCGATTTTCACTCAATCATCACTGTGAAACACTGTAAAAAGCACCGCCCACCATCTTCCCAGTCATTCATTATTTCCATTGACTGAACAGAGTTACTCCCCTCGCTCTATTCGCAAACTCAGAACAAATGGTTCCACCCCCACCACCGCCACCACCAGCAGCACCCACCGGAGCTCAGACAGAGCCCTCTAAGAATGGCCTCGAGCAGACGCCCAGTCCCGTTCGCCGAGACCACCTCGACGTGGCGAGTCTGTGCTCGGTGATCAGCCAGTCGGATGACTACTGGCACCGAGTGCTGATGCTCTGTCGCCAGCGCAACCCGGGCCACTTTGCGCTGGACTTTCCCAGCAGCTCTTTTGCCAAGCTAGAGTACCTCGACTCGGGCACCTACAGTCACGTGATGAAGGCCATCGACCTGGAAAACGACCACACGCCGGTGGTGCTAAAGGTGAGTCAGCAGTCGGGGGTGACTGTTACTGCCATGTTACTTAACACCCCATTCATTCGAATTCGGCAGATCATCAAAGTGCTTCAACGTCAGACGATGCACCGCCTGAGTGAGCTGAGCTTTAAGGGCTGCGAGCTGTACCAGGACGTCTACCAGGAGATCGTCATTCTCTACCTGCTCTCCAACCTGCACGAGACGGTGGTGGACACGGCCGGCTACGAGTACCAGTCGCACTCCTTTCCGCGCATCTTCCGCACGCGCATCGTCCACGGACCGATTCCCAACTACTTCATCATCCGCCGCTTCGACGAGACCTTCCGCAAGGTGAAGGTGATGGAGCACTTCGAGGACTCCTTCGGGCCGCCGCGTGAGCACCTGGTGACGGTGATGAAGTTCGGCGGCGACTCCCTTTGGGACCGCATTCAGGCGAACGCCAAGCCGGAGCCGATGACGGTCGACCAGCTGATCAGCGTCTGCTTTCAGGTGACCTTTGCGCTGGCGGTGGCCGAGGGCGTCTACCAATTTGAGCACCGAGACCTGCACGTCTGCAACGTCCTGGTGAAGGCGACAAAGAAGAAGCTGGCCATCTTTAAGTACCGCTCGGCGGAGTACACCGTCCTCACGTACGGCATCAAGGCCTGCATCATCGACGCCACCTTCTCGCGCATGGCCATCGCCGGGCAGACCTTCTTCGTGGACCTCAGCTCGCGACTGAAGGGCGCCGCCTCCAATGCCAACCCCGACGGTCAGGAGGTGGCCTACAAGAAGATGTACCAGCTGGTGGGCGACCAGTGGAAGCAGTGGTACCCGCAGTCGAACATCATCTGGCTGAAGTACTTCTTCGAGGAGATCCTCGCCAGTGACGCCTTCGCCAGCCACGCCACCGCCGACAAGACGGCCATCCTCAAGGCGCTCATCGAGCTGGTCGCCAAGTACAAGACCGTGGCGGAGTTCATGTCCAAGGTCTC